TATATATATATATATATATATATATATTCTTTACAATTAATTTAAATTTAAATTAATTATTTAGAAAATATAATATTCTATATAAATTATATATTACAATGATATAAGAATGTATTTTATTTATTTTATTATTTATAATCATTTATTTATAAAACCAAAGTTAACACTTAGATGGGACTATAGTAAAGCTGTTTTTCAAGTTATACATTCACATTGAAAACAACTCATCTGATTTAAAAAAAAAAAATCTGATGGACACTGTATGAAAGCTCAAGCACAGCGCTTTATAAATACTTCAGGCATTTGTGTCTGTCATAACAGGGGATTTCAGTAGTTATCAGCACACATCCGTCAGTGTCTCCATTTGCCCCGTGGAAGTGAATGAGAAACAGGCTGGACAAGATTCCACAGAGCAGAAAGATGGATAACTGAAATGTTTTAGGGTTGTCGGTGATACACTGAAAAGGTGTGTCAATTCACCTTGATACTAAAACAATGTCAAAGTGATGCAGTAAAAAATAAGAGCACGTCATGAGCTCACCGACTGGATTCCATCATCAAAATGAAAGACGATTTGAATGGTGTCACAGTCAGAATGTCCCGGCAAACTCCGTCTTTCAATATTCCAATTCATCTGCCCTCCGTCTGGCTGGTTTCCTTGTTTTATCAGTGTATTCTTTTGATCCTTGACCATCTGTTTGAACAGCCATAAAATATAACAGACACTAAATACACTAAAGAACTAATTTCACTTTCCTGAGCTAATTTTTTATTATTTTTAACTAACAGGTCCATATAGGTGATTGTGGAAGAATGATGACAGTCTCCTGCTCACACAGTTCACACATGTGAAAACATATAGTTTATTACATTAAATACTGTATGAACTTGTTCCACTAATGTTTGACAACCACAAAGTGTCCAAATATTTTTGTCTTAATATATTGTTTTATCATTTAAAACCTAAAAAAAAATAACGGGAGGGGTGTTAAGTGCAGCCATATCATCCTGTAGCCCAAGCCTGGTTGCCCACTGAAGCTAAGCAGGGCTGAGCCTGGTCAGTACCTGGATGGGAGACCTCCTGGGAAAACTAGGTTGCTGCTGGAAGAGGTGTTAGTGAGGCCAGCAGGGGGTGCTCACCCTGTGGTCTGTGTGGGTCCTAATGCCCCAGTGTAGTGACGGGGACACTATACTGTCAACAAGCACTGTCCTTCGGATGAGACGTTAAACCGAGGTCCTGACTCTCTGTGGTCATTAAAAATCCCAGGATGTCTTTTGAAAAGAGTAGAGGTGTGACCTCGGCATCCTGGCCAAATTTGCCCATTGGCCTCTGATCATCATGGCCTCCTAACAATCCCCATATCTGCTGATTGGCTTCATCACTCTGTCTCCTCTCCAACAGTAAGCTGGTGTGTGGTGGGCGTTCTGGCGCACTATGGCTGCCGTCGCACACTGGTGGTGGATGAGGAGATCCCCCTGACAATGTAAAGCGCTTTGAGTGCCTAGAAAAGCACTATATAAATGTAATGAATTATTATTATTATTAAGGATTTGAGCAGATGAGCATGGCATGTTGTTTTGTTTCATTTGTTTGCAGAAGGATTCAGAATGCTTCACAAACTTTTAATGTACATTTTTTTGCATGTGAAATCATGACAGATATTTAATCTGGTGGTTCATTATTAGTATGCTATGAGTGTCCTCATGACTGACGGATGCCAAATACTCACATTATTTAATAGGTTTAGTTCTGTTAAGAGTGTAATAAAATGGCTTTAAAAGCATTGGTTTTATTTTTAAACATTTTACCAGAATATGAGACAATTGGCAAGTTTTCTATATAATAAAATATCTACTTATATTTTGTATTATTTAAACAAACCATTTAGATGAATGATTCAGTGACTCAACATTTCTGAACTAATTGGTTGAATGAATGACTCATTGACGCATTCATAAAAAACAGTCACTTGTCTCCACCTATTGTGTGTGTGCTGCAGTGATATTAGTTTGTTAAGGTTGTTATTTCTGCGCTGATCTTTCAGGACTGAATTACCATTAATAGTATATAGGGGTTAAAGTATAAAATCCTACAGAGTTATGTTAAAGGGGTCATATGATGCTTTTTTAAAGATAATTACTGCTTCAACACTAACTGCGGTTACTGAAACCATGCCTTCTTTCTTTGCGTGAACATTTGGGCGCATTATGCAAATATTGCCACATAGTGACCTAGATATGTGGGGGCGTGTTAGAACGAGGCGTTTTAGGGGGGTGTGGCAGAGTCTTAACTTTGATAAAGAATATCTCTTTGGATTTGAGACTTTAGTCTTTGCAACTTCAGGGATCTTATCTATGCACAATCAGCTTGTAACACTCCAAAGAGAACGGAAAACTTGAAATCGCATCATATGACCCCTTTAAGATACTTGCATTCATATAGCTATCTCAAACGATCTGATGAATCTTTATTTTTACAATGCTCGAGAGTATTCTACTGTATAACTTCCCAAACATAGGGTTTCAGTGGCCACATATTTGACTCAAAGTTTGTAGAGATCTGTTCCTTATGACACACCGAGGGGTTTTTCCAACTCTATAAAGTATTATTTAATAAAGGAAGGATAGAAAAACAGGTAGTCTGATTCTCAGAAGCGTGGAGAGAAATATCACTCCGACAGCACATGAAGCCGTGGATCTGCGCAGAGGCTCAGAGTGAGATGAGACCAAAGACTCCAGGCTGAGAAGAGATTGAGAATTCCTGCTTTCAGCACACAGTAAATCCACAGACGTGAGCAGAGAGAATGACTTACTGATCTGCAGACTGGACAAAAGTTTACAGTTTCCTTATGTTTTTTTTTTGTTTTCTTTGAGGCAAAACAAACAGGATTCCCTTTCATGGGAACTTCGAACTGTGGTTGCTAAGTTTTTTTTTCTCCAGTTAAATATAATTTGGCTTTTCATTACTTTATCCACCCTCTCTTTGACCCTTACAATTAAATAAATAATTTTGCTACTATAACTTTGACTTCTATATGTTTGTGCACCAAAAATATATATTTTTTATTTTAATAACTTTTAAGATATGTATGTAAAAGTATAAAATGTGCCTAGACCACTTAATTAAGCTATATACATATTATTTCTCATTTATATTATTTAATATAATTGTTATAATTTATTATATGATTATATGTTAATTTAAAAAAATATATATTTAAAATGTTAGTAAAGTTTTTAGCGGCAAAATACATATTATTTAGCTTTTTATGACTTTTTCCACCCTCCGATTGACCCTTACAATTAAATTCTAGTTGCAAACTGTAATCCACGAGATTCAGTGTACTGTCTTTTGGTCCAATAAGTAATATCTCTGTCTTATCCGAATGTAATAGGAGAAAATAAGTTAGAAAATAAGTCTTATTTTAGAAAATAAGAAATAAATTCATAATTTTTGCTACTGCACCTTTATTTAAGTCTATAAAATTGAATGCTTTAATTGTTTGCCCTTTTTTTTTTTTTTTTTTTTTTGCAAGAGGCTGTAAGAGTGGACAAAGTGTAGATTATAACGCATTTAAAAGAAAGACTCGCATTCCAAGCCTTTCCGGTTCTTCCGTACCTGCTTTAAAAGCCACAATTATCCTGAGAGCACATCACATCCCTCTATTGCCTCAGAAAACTCAAGAGCACATGCACACTTCCTCTGGTGGCATGGCAGCGTTACAGAGTGTGTTTTTCCATGTGGCGTAGTGAGGAGAGAGAGAGGCATAGCTGTACTGAGCTCCTCTGGAGCGTGCCGGAACATTCCTCACAGATTTGGGCGTCAGCTTCTTTCTCTTAAATCCCTGGGAGTGCTGCGTTTCCATGGTGATCGAAACTTATATGAGCCATCTTTATTCATCACTGTGGCCCAGAGGGCTGGAGAAGAAGCACTGAAAGATAAAGAGGAGGAAAAAGAGGAAGACAAAGATAATCTCCTGTTGGTTTGCGTCTGTCTGGGGTTGAACAGACACCTTTTTATATAAAAATCACAACAGTGAAAGCAAAGATCATGTCAAGTGATGCAACAAAAAACATTTGTCGATTATAAAGCGTGTATATGTGTGCACACCAAAATGTAGGCTATTAATTACTCCCATTGATCCCCGCAGCATATGACACATGAAAAATACACAAGCTTCTCAGTGGAGACTGAGTTCTGTACTAGTTTCGTAACCCATCGTGCCCACTGACTCTGAGCCCCTAATCTGTCTGTGTCCTGTCTCAAGTCTGCTGCTCTATTAATAGTCCATATAACAGAACCATAGAAACTACATTTGGAGTTTGTCTTCATCTCCACATTGTCTCAAGAACCGCATCTTAGCTCTGTCTCTCTCGTTGCTTCGCCTGAGAGCAGATGTCCAGTGGGATACTGAAGAGGGCAACACTTCTGACATCATACTGTACTGATGAATGATAACTCAAATCATGCAACTTTTGAGGAGAGGTGATCTATACTTTTCTAAATGAATGAAATTATGATTTCCACCTGGCTGATTATAAAGGGTGTGAAAAATCCCATAAATGTACACTGAAGGAGAAACCTGAGCATATCTAGAGATCGGTGTTAATTTAGTATAATTGAGATATTACATTGAGATATTAAAAAATGTTGTTTCATCAAGTGTTTGTGGTGCCTTAAAATTTGAAGTTTGGTCAACTTGAGAATAGTTTTAAATTTTTCATTTTCATTTTAAAGTTTCAGTAATTTTGTTGTGGTTTTGGCATTTTTATTATTTTTGTTTTTTGTCTACATATTTTTTCATAATTTTTATTAATTTAATAATTTTTATTAAGTTAAACTAAATGAAAATGATATTTGTTTTTGCAACTATATAGCTACAATCAAATAAGTTAAATTTTTATTTCAGTTAACATTTATTTTATTTCAAGTAACAAAAGTGTTTTTTATTGGTTTTGGATTTAATTACAATAACCCTGCTACTGATCAGAATATCATACTGACTTAATATAATTTGTAACTGAAAACTGAATACTCTACTGAATATTCTGAATGAACAGAATATTCTGTATTGTCTTTCCAGTTCATAGATGGCATATAGTGACACAATAATTTTCCATAAATGAGAGATAACAAATTTAGATCTTATAAATGATAACTCTTGTGACTTTCAGACACGGCAGTGTGTGTGGTCTGTGTGAAC